CCGTTCGCAGGGGCCTGGCTCCCGGGCGCGGCCCTCGGGCGGACGGAGCCGGCGGCCGGCGGTGGCGTAGGCGCACGACGTTTCGGGAACCAGCGGGTCCTGGTAGAGCCGGACCCCGCCGCAGGTAAGCGTCCCTCGCGCCCTCGAGCTCCGGAGCCCGGGCCCTGCGCACGCTGCACCTCGCCTGCTCCTTGCGTCGGCCCGTGGCTTCGGAGGTTCGGCGGTGGTGCCGGTGCTTGGCCGGCCAGTTACCCAACCTCCTGAGCCGGTTCCCTGCCACGGCGCCCTCACTGCCAAGGGTTAAGAAAGGCGAATTCAGTAAGCCTTGCAGTGCTGGCAACAGGGCATGCTCCGCAGGGCGGTTCGTTGTATTATTCTCCCCCAGACTCGTGCGAAAGCTATTGAATTCCTAAAGAGCACGAGAAAAAGCCCAGTTTTAAAGTCCGTTTCTGTTGCGTTTAGAGCGTAAAGGTCATCAATCTAGGTGTGTGTTTAAATGGTTTCCTTCCCACACACTTCATTATGAAGATTAAAATATTTCCGTTTTTAAAGTTTGGGGGATGTGCCCCTTTAAGCTGTTAAGTTGGAAGCTGAAAATAATTGCAGGTATTTTTAGAATAAAATATTTTAATTTTTCTTAATACTTTCACGTGGCACAGAACCCAGCAGATATTTTACTAATTAAACCAGGAGCCACAAGTGGAATCACTCCTAACGGCACCGCTATCACCACCGGCAGTCAAAACACTTAAAACTCTCCAAGGGGGATAGAAAAGGTAGAAAACCGGTGCACGCCAGAGCTGGGTACTGGGAAGGCTTGGGGTCAGAGATGGGCAAAGTTTTGGAGTTTAAGACATGCTGTCCCATGGTCCCCCAGCTGTAAGGCCTCAGCCTTTTAAGATGGTGCCATGCTGTGCATTGGGGAAAGCCATCTCTATTCCCAAACACACACTGGTTCCACACTGTTGCCTACACCTGGAACAGTGTCAGGGCACCAGGATCCTTGGTTCAGTTCCCTTGTTTAGCCCCTCTCTGGCTTGGGGCTGCCTGAGCCAGGTGACGAGGGGTGGGCCTCAGACTAAGCCCAACTCCTAGTCCAACAAAAACCTGACTCTAAAAGGGTCATTTTTGTAACATTTGAATTTATCAAAGAGTGCAAAAACATTTAAAGGTATTGAGTGGGTGGTGGTAATGGCTGCACAACATTGTGAAAATATACTTAATATCACTGGATTGTACACTTAAAAAATGGCTTAAATGGTAAATTTTATGTTGTTTTTAAAAAGTATTGCTAATTTTTTACCAAAGTGCATCCCCGCCCCACCACAGAAGTCGCTAGCTTCATTGGCTTGGTAGAAAATTAAGTTTGGGGTCAGAAAGCCAGAGCTGGTTGTTTGGTTTTTTCTACCCGACCAGTTAGCTTTCAGGAATCTTGAGGCTTAGATGAAATAATGCAGTAAAAGTGCTTTAAAATGTTTTTATTTAAGTGCTGTTACTGAAGCTGATTTTAGAATGCGTTCATAATATTTATTTTAATACCCTGTGCCAGGAGTGTTGTTACTTACCTCTGGTGTCCAAGTTCATCCAAATTCCCTTGTAAACTCATGTTCACCTTTGGCCTCTTACCTTTCCCTCAGTGTCCTGAATTCTGCCCCATGAGACTCTACAAAAATGCAGAGTCACTTTCAGAAACTTTCTTCTGAACCAAGTTTAGAGAGCTTCTTTTGGAAGTTTTGATTGCTTCTTATTTGTACATGTACATACCTGTAGCCAGGTAATAATTACCCCTTTCTCCTAAATTAAAGGCCTCAAAAGAGCCCACTGCCTTTAGGACTTAGTTCTCACTCTTAGAGAATGGTTTGTGTTGATGGTCCAGAGATTTCCAAGGTTCTGACCAGGGAAATGCACCCTAAATGAACAGTGGCATATCTGAAGTCCTTGGGCTCTGCCCTTGGCCAGGCAATGAGAACAGATGGCCCCAGCTGACCCATGCCAGCAGCTGCACTGTCCTCAAGGGCAGGCCCTGTCCCTCCTGCTTGCCCTGCTGCTGGCAATATGAATGGAGAATATCTGACACTCCTCCACTCCCAGTATTTTTCACCTCTATCCTTAAACAAGCGTGAACCAGAGCACCTCACTGGAATCATCCTTGCACGTCTAGTTCTCACAGTTGGCTGACTCACTCTGCAAGAAACTAAGGCAATTTCCTACTCCCACGAGGATGGTGGACTTGTGTCTGGGAGAGAAAGATAAAAAATATTTGTACATGAATGTTCACAGAAGCATTCACAGTAGCCAAGAGGTAGAACCAACCTAAGTGTTCATCAGCACTTGAATGGATAGATAAAATGCAGCATACAAGGGGATATTATTCTACCTTAAAAGGGAATGAGGCTGCCCTGACGTGTGGCTCAGTTAGTTGGAGCATCTTCCCGTGCACCAAAGGGTCATGAGTTTGATTACCGGTCAGGGCACATACACAGGTTGTGGGTTCGATCCCTGGTTGGGGCACGTACAGGAGGCAACAAATCAATGTTTCTCCCTCTCCTCTCAATTAAAAAAGAAAAAAAAAGGGATATACTGATACATGTTACAACATGGGTGAATCATAAAATCATGTTGTGAGAGAGATTAAAGATGGTGGCAGACTGAGTGGAAGCTACCTGGACTCTCCCTGGACTAAACTGGAATTACAACTAAAATATAGAAAAATCATCCTGAATAATCAACTGCAACTGAAGACTAGCTGGGGAACACCCTCATAACCAAGAAGAAAAGTGGAGACCACATAGAGACTGGTAGGAAGTGCAGAGGGACGAGAGGGCTGGCTGGGCTCCCACAGGCAGAAGCTGAAGGTCCGGAGGGATTCTCAGCTGTGGGGGTTCCCACTGAAGACACGGGCCTAAACCCCAGGCTGGGCTTCCCAGCCCAAGCACCAGAACTGAGAAACGTGCCCACATAACACCTGGCTGTGAAAAGCAGCAGGGTTTCTGTGTGCCAGTGAGAGATGGTTGGAACTGCAGGCACCCTCTTAAAGAGTCAACACACAAAGTTTTGTGTGCAGCCACTCACCTTGGGCTCCAGCAAAGGGGTGGGCGGAGTGGCCTGGAGCTGTGTGAGGAGAACCTAGGGTTTTGGGCTCTGGAGATAGAGCTCAGAAGGCACCCATCTAGATTCCTGTGCCGAGTCATTACCCCAAACTGTGGAGGACATCTTTCTCAGGGAGACATTTTGCTGCTTTTGCCTGGGGGAGAAGCAGTTGCCTCACCCTGCTGGAAAACCTCTAGCCCTACCCAGAGGAGTTTCTACAGCCTGAGACCCATTAAGAGACTGATAACAACCAGCTGCCCCACCCTGTGGAATTTCTGCAGCCTGAGGGTCATTAAGAGAATCATATTAAGCTGCCTTCAGGCAGAGGCAGACCTCAGAGTGCTTGGAGTTTTTGCCTGATCTGCTTCTGGACCCAGGCCTTGGAAAAGCAGAGTTTAGTGTGCATTTTGATCCTGTCCAAAGGCACCCAGCCCCAGTAGAGGAGACCTCAAGCTGAGGGTTGTTGATAGCTCCAAACAGGGCACTCGGCCGGTCACAAACTGTGTCTGACATTGGCCTGCACCAGAGACCCTTCAAAAAGACTGAGAGTCATAGCAAATCCACCTACTACACAGAAACAAACCCAAACAGGCAGCCAAAATGGGAGACAAAAAAAGCAAGCCCTAAATGAAAGAACAAGAGAAGTCTCCAGAAAAAGCTAAATAAAATGGAGATAAGCAATCTATCAGATACAGAGTTCAGAGTACTAACTGTAAGGATGCTCAACGGCATGAAAAAATATAAGGAAACTATGAAGGAAATTAAGAATGACATAGCAGAAATAAAGAATACATTGGAAGGAGCAAATAGCAGGTTAGAGGAAGCTGAGGATCAGATCAGCGAATTAGAAGACAGGGTAGAAAAAATTACTCAGAAATCCAAAGAGAAAAAACAATTAAAAAAACAGGACAGTCTAAAGGAGCTATGGGACAACATAAAATGTAACAATATTTGCATCATAGGAGTGCCAAAGGAGGTAGAAAGGAAGCAAGGGTTAGAGAACCCATTTGTAGAAATAATGGCAGAACACTTCCCTAACCTGGTGAGGGAAAAAGTCACACAAGTTCAGGAGGCACAGAGAATCCCAAGCAAGAAGAACCCAAAGAGGCCCACGCCCAGACAAATCATTAAAATGCCAAGAATTCAAGACAAAGAATCTTAAAGGCAGCAAGAAAAAAGCAATCTGTTACCTACAATGGAGCTGCCATAAGGCTGTCAGCTGACTTCTCATTAGAAACTCTCTAATGGCATGAAGTGTTCAAGGTAATGCAAAACAAGGATCTGAAACCAACACTACTCCATCCAGCAAGGCTATCATTCAGAATAGATCGTGAAATAAAGAGCTTCCCACACAAAAAAAGGCTAAAGGAATTTATCACCACCAAACCAGCATTGTAGGAAATGTTAAAGGGACTGTTGTAATAAGAAGAAAGAGAGAGAGAAACAGGCATAAAGAATTAAAATGGCGCCCAGCCCAGCATGGCTCAGTGGTTGAGCGTTGACCTAGGATCCAGGCAATTGGGGTTTGATTCCTAGTCAGGGCACATGCCCGGGTTGCGGGCTCGATCAATGACTTTCTCATCATTGATGTTTCTATCTCTCTCCCTCTCCTTTCCTCTCTCTGAAATCAGTAAAGATGTATATTTTTAAAAAAATTTAAAATGGCAATAAATAAGGACCTATCAATAATAGCCTTAAGGGTTTTAAGGGAGAGATCAACAGCAATACAGTCAGTCGTGGACTTTAACACCTCACTGACTTCACTGGATAGATCTTCCAGACAAAAAGTCAACACTATCTAACCCTACAAGTTAAAGAATTAGAAAGCTCCCCTGTGAAACCATCTGGACCAGGGCTTTTGTTTGCTGGGAGTTTTTTTATTACTGCCTTGATTTCATCAGTTGTTATTGGCCTATTCAGGTTTTTTGATTCTTCCTGATTCAGTTTTATATGATCTCACGCATATGCGGAATCTAATAAACACAATAGACTGAGGAACAAAATAGTTCTAGAGACACAGAAACATGGAACAGACTGAGGGATCTCAGTGGGAAGGCAGGGGTGGAGGAGTGTGTGGGGAGAGATTAATCAAAGAGCTTATATGCATATATGCATAACCCATGGACACAGACAATAGGGGAGTGAAGACGTGAGGGGAGGGCAAGATGCAGGGTAGAGGAGATCAATAGGGAGAAAAAGGGGGGATATCTAACATTTTCAACAATAAAGATATATTTCAAAAAAAAACCTTTTTTTTTTAAAATATATCTTTATTGATTTCAGCAAGAGGAAAGGAGAGGGAGAGAGAGAGATAGAAACATCAATGATGAGAGGCGTGATTGATCGGCTGCCTCCTGCATGCCCCCANTTAATCAAAGAGCTTATATGCATATATGCATAACCCATGGACACAGACAATAGGGGAGTGAAGACGTGAGGGGAGGGCAAGATGCAGGGTAGAGGAGATCAATAGGGAGAAAAAGGGGGGATATCTAACATTTTCAACAATAAAGATATATTTCAAAAAAAAACCTTTTTTTTTTAAAATATATCTTTATTGATTTCAGCAAGAGGAAAGGAGAGGGAGAGAGAGAGATAGAAACATCAATGATGAGAGGCGTGATTGATCGGCTGCCTCCTGCATGCCCCCACCTGGGGATCAAGCCCGCAATCCGGGCATGTGCCCTGACCAGGAATCGAACCCTGATCACCTGGATCCTAGGTCGATGCTCAACAGCTGAGCCCCGCCCGGCCAGGCAAAAAACATGTCAAGTGAAAAGAAGCCAGACACAAAAGGTCACGGATGATTCCATTTTTATGAGATGCCCACAATGGGCACATTCATAACAACAGAAAATAGACCAATGGTTGCCAGTGGCTAGAACAGAAGGAATGGTGACTGACTTGCCAGTTGGTACAGGACTTCCTTTTTAGGTGACGGAAATGTTCTAGAATGTGATAATGGTTGTACAACAGTGTGAATGTACTTAATAGAATTGTTCACTTTTAAATGGTTAATTTATGTTATGTGAATCTCACCTGAATTTTAAAAAACCATGTAACTTCCCATGGCCTGGTTGAGGGTGCAGGGTAACTAGGGACACTTTTCCAGTGCTGGGCATGAGCTTTCTCTTCATTTTCACACTAGGGATCGCTGTGATGAAGCTCAGGAACCCCCCAGTCAACAGCCTCAGCCTAGAGTTGCTGACGGAGTTGGTCATCAGCCTAGAGAAGCTGGAGAACGACAAGACCTTCCGAGGAGCTATCTTGACTTCGGTGGGTGCTCGTTAGCTCCCCAAGGCCCCGAGTTCCCTGATCAAAGTGTGAACCTGTTACCAGATCAGAGTCCAAACTTGGAGATCATCTGCATGTTACATAGTGTGGAATAACTAGGCAGTCCTGGACACAGGTGCCCACGAGAGATTTCTAGGGATCGTGGTCCTAGGCAGGTGATGTTTTTGCAGGCACAACCTCGAATCCATGTTGATTCATGAAGTATAGATCCTATGAATACTGGGCAGTGGATTCCTGGGGTGCCCTCCCTGGGTGATCCTCAGAACCTGGGCTGGTTTTCACACCCAAACCTGCCGGACTGGGTGCCTCATGTGTTCCTGCCCCCTCCAGTAGGCATCAGGTCTACCTGCTCTGCCAGGTGCCAGAGGTGCCAAGAGAGGACACAAATAAGACCTGGCCGGGGAGGTGAAGTGTGAACCCAATATAACAGGCCATTTGTTGGGTCAGGAAGAGTACTAGTGTCACCTTTCAAGTTAGGAGCCACAGACAGCATGAATCTCCCCCAAAGCTAAGTGCCACCATATTAGAGACCTGCCGTCAGTAAAGGTGCAGGAAGCAGACCACCACAGCCTCTTTCAATCAAGGTTTGGAGCATCTACTTGGGTGTATATCTGCTTTCTTATCCTTCAGGTTGTCCCAGGGGTAGCCTGGTGTTGTCAAAGCTCTGAGGAGCCTGGCTGCCTCTGACCCTGAGGGAACCAGCACTGTGCCTGAGACTGGCACCAGCAGGGGACTCCCAGGAACTGGGTGTGATGCATATACCTAGTGGGTACTATGAAGCTGGGGTTTGCAGAACAAAGCCTGGCCCCATGCCATGGAAGAGAGATTATTCCACATTTCTCCGAGGGTGAGACTGAGTACTTAGGGGTGTAGATTGTTGAGGGCCTGGTGACAGAATCTCAGGGAACTTTTTGACAATCTCAGCAGAACTTCCTGGAGATGCTAAAATTGCCTCGGAACTTTTTACGCTGGGTAATTTCTGAAAATACTCCATTTAAGATGTCATTTCATAGCACGACATTTTCTTTACTGTGCTCTAAAATGAGAGAACTGTGTGTCACCAAATATAGGACCTTCAGAATGAAAGGGGGAAGGCCATCACTTTACTGAGGCCCCCCCGCCTCCGTGCTTGTAGGCTCGGTGCTACACAGTGAAGGTCCCTCCTACCTCCAGGCCTCAAAGTCACACAGCCCTAAAGGAGGGGAGCCAGCATTTGTCCCTCCATAGCCTATATTCTCCCTACTACAGTGGGATCACCCCCCAAATGTATCTGTATTGTGTTCTGTATTGAGTGCCTACTGTGTATGTAGTAGCACAAGGCCTGCCCAGTGAGTCCTCAACAGGTGATTATGGAATGACATCATGTGACCACCATCACAAAGCACAAATGGAGTGGCTTAAAACAACAGAAGTGTACTGTCACAGTTCTGGAGGCCAGAAGGTCAAAATCAAGGTGTTGGCAGGGCTGGCTCCTTCTGCAGGCCCTAGGGGAGAGTCTTCCTTGGCCTCATCCAGCTCTGGTGGCTCCTGGTGTTCCATACTTGTCACTCCAGTTTCCTCCTCTGTGTCCAAATTTCCCTCTCTTTAGAAGGACACCAGTCACAGGATTTAGGCCCCCTACTCCAGCATGACCTCTTCTTGATCACATCTGCAAAGACCCTGCTTCTCAATAAGGTCGTGTTCACAGATCTGGGGGTGAGGATCTGTCCTTGTCTTTTTCAGGGGCACAATGTGGCCCGCTACAGATGTGTCACTAAATCACAAAAACAAGCTGCCCCATACCCCAGTTAGGATCATGTGGTTTATTCTCACATTCAGAATATAATGCTTTGCCTTTGATTTCCTGAAGCAAGACTGTGGGCAAGTGCTGTACCCTGCCCGACATCTGTGCTGATAAAATGTGTTCGATTTTGTTGGGAGAGGAAGCCAGGGGATTGTGGTGAGAAAAGGGTGAGGGGAAAAGCAGAAAAGCTGAATGTAGTCCTGCCATGTCCTTGAAGCAAGAGCAGCTCTGTCCCTGCTGCCATCCCTCCTCCCCAACCAGGGGCTGGCCTCCGGGTCCCGATGTCTGGACCCTGAGGAACAGTGGACTTGGTGTAATGATTGCACGTCTTTCTCCGTTGGGTCTTTTTAAGTTACAGGAGTAGAACACATTGCATGGAAACGAGGTCAGCCTCCAAGTATTATGCACACATAAGCACGTGTGTGTACGACGCCTTGCTCTGCAACCTACTTCTGTAGCTTAATAGAAGGATGTAGGGGCCATGGAGTGTGACTGCCCCATACTTCATTATCTGCCTGCTCTTCACAGACAATGGGTAGTTGCATTCTCACAAGCAACTTGGTAGCCATAGTCAATTCTTCTGTGTTTGCTCCCCTCCCTTCCTTGCCAGCTGTCTCAGGACCTGGGCATCCACACAGGACACATATCTTCAAGATCATTCCCCAGGCTTCTGTCTCACATGTGACAGCCCAGGGCAGAGGTCTGGATTTTTGACTGGTCACTGCCCCTTCCCTGATCAGACAGCAGCACGTCCCTGTCTGCACCTGTCTGCAGTTTGCTTGACCTTTGCGGGTAAATCAACATGTTCCCTCAAAAGACTGTCAGAAGTCCCCCCCATGCCTCTAAGTTTTCTGCCTGGGATACCACATAGGTGTGCACAGAGCCTGGGGGTGTGCCCCTGACACTGCCTGCCTGTTCCTTTTCCAGCTTGAACTTGGAAAGGGAAGAACTTCCCAGGATGTAGAAGGAACTGAGTCTGAGGGAGGTTGAGGCTGAGTCCTAGAGCCCCAGCTCTGGGCTCCTTGGGGCAGTATCCTGCTGCCTTGAGCATTACCTCAGCCTTACTGACCGCTGAGCACCTGTGGGCTCCCCCTACCCTGGGGGCACATTGCCCTGGAAGGTGGACTCTGATGGGACCCTGGCTCCCTCACCCAGGACTGCCCTGGGGTCTTCTCCGCCGGCCTAGACCTGACGGAAATGTGTGGGAGGAACCCAGCGCACTATGCTGAGTACTGGAAGGCTGTGCAGGAGTTGTGGTTGCGGCTCTACACGTCCAACCTGGTGCTGATTTCCGCCATCAGTGTGAGTGTTTCCATTCCCTAGTGGCCTTCCTGACTCCCTGGAGGCTAGGGGGAAGGGGGGAGTGCAGGCAAGGCCCTGCCCTTGGGAAGTACCCAGAGGGGAAGGATGCCTTCAGGAGACTCTCAGATGTGCACAGGTAAGCATGCCATTACAGATCACTGACATGGTGACAAACTAGGTGGGGCCACAGGGATCAACTCACTGGGGTGGGGGCAGGCCTCAGGATCCAAGAGCTGTTACCAGGGAGCAAGTAGGGAATTGGATCCACATTTTGAAAATATCACTTTGGCCTGGTCTGGGGAAGGCAGGGGAAGGCCACTAAGGTAAGGTGCTGGAGCTAAGGCTCCAGAACTAGTGTGCCCTGAAGAGATGTGGTGACAACTGAAGTAAGGGGCAAGGAAGGCTGGAGCCTGGTGGAGGGGAGGTATGAGAGGGTTAGTTCACTCTGAGAGCTCACACACACTGGCAGGCTGTTGCTCGGGACCCTGGATCTCTGGAATACTATTGGGACCAGCAATAGCAACACCCAAAGCCCAGTGGTCTTGCTTCCCCTGCAGGGAGCCAGCCCTGCTGGAGGCTGCCTGATGGCCCTCTGCTGCGACTACCGGGTCCTGGCTGACAACCCCAAATGTGTCATTGGGCTGAATGAGACCCTGCTGGGCATTGTTGCCCCTTTCTGGTAAGGCCAGGGACTGCACCCATATTCCATGTGGCCCAGGGATGAACCAACCCACCTGGGAGCCCCCAGCCCCAGGTAAGTGGGTGTCTGCATTCCAGGTTTAAAGATACCCTTGTGAACACCATTGGGCACCGTGCCTCAGAGCGTGCTCTGCAGCTGGGGTTGCTCTTCCCACCAGCAGAGGCCCTCCAGGTGGGCCTGGTGGACAAGGTAGTGCCTGAGGACAAGGTGCAGAGCACAGCGCTCTCAGTGATGGCCCAGTGGATGGCCATTCCAGGTGAGGAGCACAGGGAGGGCCAGCTACTGTGGGTACTGATGAGCAAGCAAAGCCTCCTCCCCCTCCCTCGCCCCCTTTCCCCTC